CTGTGACTCATACATACATACATACGTAATATAGTTTAAAAATAAGAAATTTCAACCGAGAAAAATGTCAGCGAATACACACTTGACAGCTGTTAGCTAGATGTACTCGTATCTTGCTATATACATCTAGCCATAAAGAAAAAGGACAGGCTTAATTAAGGCGAAACTTATGCCGAGCGCCCCCAGGTATAACCATTTAAAACTATGTAAATAATATATCTAAATATTATATATTTAACCTATTTGTTTGTCTGAAGATTCCTAGTAATTGTATGAATAATTCCACCTTAAATAAGGAAAACGAATAAACTTGCCTTGATCTTAATAGGTTGCTGCCAGCAGCTTATTTGATCTTAATGAATGTTACAGTTATAAAAATGTTAATATTGTTTTGTAGAATGTAGGTTATGTAAACAAATTAAGGAGATGGGACACAACATATTATGCTCGGGGCTATTTCACCGTTTTCAATACAGACCAACCAATTTGTTCTGTTAAGAAAGTAGACGATCTGTGCCGCCTGTTTACCACTTTTATACGTAATAAGGTATTTTTGTTAATTTTTTTGCCATTGTTACCTACTGTAAGTAAAACAGAGCGATGAACTGGAGTAGACTTTGAGAGACTGGTATTTCATAAGCATCATTTGGTGTGCCGATATGTCTGTTAATATCTATTGTCAAAAATGTCTTGCTTGCAGGAATCTCGCCAGCATTTTTTTTTAATATTCATATTTGGCCTCTGTCATTCTAATTTCGCAACTGTTATTCTATCATTAATTCATTTCATGGACGGCCATCTGTCCGATATCAATCACCATATAAGATTTTCTCTATGTCCCTGTATGTAATTCGTGGGTCAACGTGCCTTTTAATAATAAATGACACAGATGCGTTCCATTTTCAAATTTCGAGCATCTCAAAACTTATCTAGGTGTTGACCTACGTACCTATATAAGTTTTGAGATTCTCCGAGTTCTCCGGGTTGTCGCTTTTTTCGTAGTGTTTGAATTTTCGCTTTTTAGAAGACGTTGATAAAACTATACTACAGGACATCTTAATATGCAATATACTCGTAATTATTAATATAAATATAGGCCCGACAACAACCGTTTTTACGACAAATCTTTGAAACTCGGATTTGCATATATTATACAAATAAACTTTTCTCTTGAATCCTCTCTCTATTGTTGAAAACCGCATTAAAATCCGTTACTTAGTTTAAAAGTTCTAAGAGTAAGAAAGATCTAATAGTAAGAAGTGTCGAAAAAAAGTCTAGTTACACATTTTTCGGTCTAGCTCCCATCCGCTTTGGGCCTATAACGCGCGATACGGAAGTTCGTAACAAAATTCGTTGCTATTGATCTGGGTGTTTCCATTCCGATATTTGTGTGTTTATTAAAAACAATGTATCTACGTATATTTAAAATAGTTCTAGAACTCATTCAATAAGCTTTGCAAACTGCTTGATTGTTTGTTTAAAAATAACATAAATGAAATAGTATTGTATACCAGTAGTTCCACTGTCCTCTTGATATTACTTATTTTCATTATGGAATAAAATATTTCTCGAGAAATTTCTCAGATATTTTTTTCTAAATAAAACTTTTATTCGGGCAACTATGACAACACTTAAGAATAAGAATTAGTCAAATTGGTCCAACCTATCTTTACTGATGTGCTTACCAACAGTATTTTGTTTAAGTATATAGATGCTACCTTTTGTAGATGCCTTGCTCTGATTATATAATATTTTTCGTCCCTCTATAACAGTACTTTTTCTGCATGAAAGCTATACGTCCTATACATGGTAAAAGTCCTCGCCGAGCTGTAGGCAGCTCATAAAATTCAAACAAACATTATTTTTTTATACTAGCTAACGATTTTTTCCCGTTTGTGCAACATTTTTAATTAATTACTCCTATCGGTCGTAGTGTGATGTTATATAGCCTTCTTCGATAAATCAGCTATCCAACACTAAACGATTTTTCACTAAGAGCAAATATATATATATATAAACATATTTTGGTTATAAACATTACACATTACATTTTTTTTTATGTTGGAGGTGGCACACTAGCAGACGGGTCACCTGATGGAAAGTGACCATCGCCGCCCATGAACGTCTGCAACTCAGGAGTCACAAACGCGTTGCCGGCCTGACATGTTTTTTCAACCAATACCAGATGCGACGTTTACGCGTAAAATGAATGTCGTCATTATACAACTTTTGCGAAAAGCCCATGCTAGAACGTTGACCATTAATCCGACATCTAATCTGTTAAATCTCGTACTAGGGATACAAACCTCATTAGGGAGAGAGATTTACAACAGGAATAATACGAGTGACACTGGGTGTAGTAGGTATTTGGAAACAAAGTAACATTAACCAAACGTTTACTGATCGGAGAATCGTTCTGAGAATAGTTATAACAGTATAATTGTTTTTGAATTGACATCTTTTCATTACAGCACTGTCATTACCGTGGGAGAGCCAGGCTTCGGCTCGTACAGGTATGCCATAGCCTCAGCCGGTGTTGTACCATAGCCTCACAAAAATCGGTGTTAGGCAATTTCTCGCTTTTCATCGAGGTTACCGGTTCCTTAACTCTCTGACCCACTAAAAGACAGCAACGCACTATATCTCTTGAGTCGCAGGTGACTCCCGTGCTCGTTGCTATGACCCCTATACCAAAAATAATTGCGTTATGTCTTAAGATTTGTCGTTATATTCCAATCGATATCCAAAGCAATTTGTCAAACCTACCAGTAAATACTACTTGTCACGAGGCCATTGAAGCTGAGTAAAGGCGTAAATAATTTTTTTCTCCGTTAATATTAAAAAAAGTTAATTTATATTCTGTGTTGTTTTGTTTATTAGTTAACCTTATTTGAAGTGGTCGCCAAGAATACTTACCTATCTATAAAAATGTCACGCCAATCACGTTCACGCTAATTTGGCTTCAGATCACGTTTTACCTGAAATGTTTTATTGAGTAAGAGCCTCCCACGCGCGGCTGCTTTTTGAAAAATTGCCTTCACGTTCGTTGACCTACAGAGACTCCCCTAGGATGCCCAATGTAAGTACTTATCTATGAACCTCTTAAATTTAGGCGATTAGTGGCGAATGGGTATCACCTGGCAAATAACTTCACCTATTAGACAGTTTACAAGAAAGCCTGAATCAGTCCATTTAAGAATAGTGGCGTTAATTTTAAATTCTCCGGTGCGATGAAAAAGACCACAACGTCACAAAAACCGATGTGTGTGGTGTATTTCTAAAATTAAAATCTATTTCAGTCTATTTTAAGATCCCAGCTTTATTTTTATATTTTGGACTTGAAACCGATTCGTTTCGAAAAGTAGTTGAAGATTAATAACGTGTTTTACATCCCACTATAAAACTTCATTTATACAGAGAATTGAAAATCTAAATCAAAATACTGTTCTATTGTACTGACGATCTTGTAAAACTGAACAGGGGTTTCTTATTCATACGTAACCAACCAAGTTGAGGAGACCTGGGAATACATTGAGTTAGTAGTTGTCGGAGTATTGTTATAAAGTGGCTAGCTGTGGCGGGTGTCTTATCGCGGCGTTGCGTAGTGGCGTATGTGCGTAACGACTGAACGCCACGCCCCCCGACGTCTTCGTACGACAGCGACTGTTAAGATGCGCGCGCATTCCTCTTTGAAACTTAGGGCGACATCACATGCATTGATGTTTTTACATCTAGTATTAAATTGCTAAGTGTTAGTGGCTTGAATTAATGAATTTAAAAAGGATACGGTAGATGTGAAATAAATGAACATTCATGACATCCTTGATTTCTAACCACAAAAATATCAATTTATTGGTATAAAATTATATTATGACTGTTTTGACTACCATAATATACTATCATCACTCACCATCATCATCAACAACATTTACTAGTCCACTGCTGGACATAGGTCTCTCCTTAGAAAGGAGGTTTTGGCCTACTACACCACGCTAGCCAGACGGGTTGGTATAGGGTTTGTGTCAAGTTTTCCTTCTCTCTATAGTGCTGTTCTCCTGCGTAGTTTGCTCCCTTAGTCGCCTTTTACGACTCCCACGGGATGAATAGGGGTGGTGACACTCTGTATTCTGAATCCGTCACCACACGGTAGAATATACTATAATACAGCATATACCTAACAAAAATGAAACGTAGTTTTAAAACCTAAGCGATAATATTTAAAGTGATAAAGTAGGCACCTGCTACAAGTATACGTACACGCCTATCTATTTTGATAAAACTAAAACCACAATCGATCGTAATGTGAAGTGGTGGTTTTTACTACTAGGATTACTATTCAAAAATAACAAAAATAAAGATTTGCAATATGTGTAAACTATGACATACTGAGTATAAATGTCCAAATCATGAAATTGCAATATTAGCTTTATTAGATGGCAAACCATAACCGACGCGTTTTCATGTAATAAAGTAAGTCAAGTCATAAAAACTAACGGGGCACCATCAGACGTCGTAAATTGTCGTTTGTACTCAAGATCGCATGTGACCGAGCCTTAACGTCGTGTCGTTCGCATGATGCGTTGGAAAAATCTGTAGCTAGAATCAGCAGCGCAGCGCCGCGGTTCGGTCGCCGAAACTAAACGTGGCTACGTCACGCGTGCACCGGTATCGCCATCTAGCGGCTTGCCGGGACCGCATCACCTCACCTGCCTCTCGCGACATTTCTCCGTCGCGTTCGCACCAGTGGCACGTAGAAATAACCTCAAAACGTTGATCGCGGAGCAACCAATCAGCAAAATATTGTCCTTCGCAGTATTAATAACAGTGACTACGACTTTTAGGACGCATTATCGTGTTATGAAAGTGACGTAATCCCGTCACAGTTCTGGATTTGCCCCTACAGTGTTGCTTCATAGTGATTTTGACAAAAACGAAAGTTTACAGGACGAATGTTCCTTTTGGTGGGCTGTCGTTGGGCAGCCCCCAAATTTTGTGCCATAATGTGGTGGTTTATATTTATTTGTGTTATAAACGTTAAAACATTTGGAGTTTTAGCGTCGAATAGCAGTGTCAAGGCTTCTGAATGTAAGTATTTTTAACTTTTAATTTGATTTCGTTGTTGATTATTTAAACTTAAATAAAAATGAAGTTGGGATAAAATCTTATACAATAATGACAAAATATCGATATAAATATTCACTGTATATTTTGAAACAAATCTGTATTGCATTTCTGATAATGCGTGAATTGCGTGATAGTGAGATCTTTTTAACAGCTGGGAACACTATGTTTATGTTCGTTGGTCCATGTATATTCTAACTAGTTTATTCATAGGCAATCAGGTTTGTTACGTATTAGTCCTACACCTACATAAACACGTGCGCTTACCTACACACGGTTGTTTTTGTTTTTTTTTTTAACAAAATCTAAGGCGATAAGATTAGGTCAAGAACATCACGCCATAGGGTGTTGTGTGTCTGTCATTGTATAAGCACGCCCATTATTAGAAATATTACTATTGGTGTCACTTTCTAGAATACATACATCATTGGCGAACAATAACTATTTTTATGCGCAATATTTTTAATTTTTAGTGGTCATTTAAGTAAAATATGTAATTTTTAACAATGCATATATTGACAATGCATCGGTAATGTGTATAATAGGTTCATTCGGCTGATTAGGTATAAGAAATATGCAGTTGGCACGGCAAAATATTAATCTTATTGTGTTCATCTTAGGTGTTATCATAGTAGTAGGTATATAATTATTATAATATAAATCATTGCAAATTATTTGTCATGTATACCTTCTAGTAAATAATCAATCAATCGATCTTTTAATATTTGGAAGCTGGATTTCTTTGTTTCAGATTTCGTTAGTTAAATTTAAAAAAAATTATTTACTATAGACAAAAATAGGTACCTACCTCCCTTCAAATATAGCTGTTAGGTACTCTAAAGTAGTAACAACAATGACAATAATTTTAATTTTTGAGTAGAAATATACAATTGTTTGAATAATAAGAAACATCTATGTTTACCTATATTGCAAGCATAGTATTTTCGTTGTGATTTAAGGAATCTACTTGGTCGTCTTTATTTTAAAACCTTTATGTACAAATATTACTAAACAATAAACATCAAATACTATTATAATAATATTTTCCAAGAGGTGCAAATAGTTTTTGCACTTCTTGAAAAATATGTATATTAACAACACGAAGGAATTGCAGCAAATTAACGTATAACGAAACGTCAGCTAACGTATACTAACGTAGAATAAAGAAACGTAATAACGTTTATGTAGAATAGAAAGTCAACAACGTTCAACAACGGCCACAAAACACTTCCTTAATGCAATAAACAGGTTTTAAGTTTATTCATAATAAAATTGATATTATAATTATTAAAAAAGGTAGTTAAGATGAAGGTCTTTACTACCTTTTTTTACGTGCAATCTTTTTGGAACGCAATTCTTAGAGAGATAACCAACACATTTGAAATGAAAAAGATTTGATAAGAGCTTAGTTATAAGTACTTAATGTTTACCGGTGTTCTCTTAGTATTTGTTTAACAGTTTGAAAAAAAGATGTAAAATATGTATGAAATAAAATGAGTGGGTGAGTGAGTCTAAAGCTATTCATACCTAGAACGAAGCTATTTCTATCTACAAAGGTTTTTCTGCTTTAAGATTTTATAATCTTTAACAGATCTGTTATTTTTGACTAGTATCGATGGCTGGCGAAATGTCACTGTATTTTGTGAAATTTTATTTTCCGACGTTGATTTCCTTCCAACTCCAACACAAAATCTATCCTTACTCTGAGTATTTTCAGTAGCTACTAGTAGTTTTAAGCAGTATTTTATTTTTAATTGAATATTCTTATTATACTTTAATGTATACCGAAATAAAGAATACATTTAAATACATATAATATTATAACAAAACGAAAAATAAAACGGTGACTTATGCAGGTATACGTAAATGTGTAAACAAGTACTGCAAGGTCTTATGTGGTCGGCATTATTGTGGTTATTTGTTCATTGGTCGATGCATTATTGACCGCTAAGCTTCTCAGTAATATGTACGTTTAAAATGTTATACGCCTAGCTTCCACTAGTAAGGCGTTTGATTCACTATCCTAACTATGACGTCATGCCCTTCTCGTGTTTAATGATAATGAAGGTGCAAATTGAGAGCTAGTTTCCATTACGTTACTTTGTATTTTACTTGAATTGTTTATTGTTTTGTTTAGATGCTTATTCAAACGTGTACGTTTCGTATAGCCAGTAATAGCGAATAACGTCATTGGAAATCATCGAAGTTGATGTATTAGTACTTAGTTATATTATATTTTGCCAACATGTGCCAAGTGACGGAAATAGATAAGAATAAACACATGAAAGTGGCCGGAGACACTGTTTTCCTGATTCGGTACAAAGTTCAAGTGTTGGGCGGGGAGCCAATGTCTCAAACATATTTTTGCCACACTGTTTATTATTATTTTTCACGTAACCTTCCCGGCAAATGTCACATATTTATTAGACAACAGCGGTCAGTTAATGTGTCAAAGGGGTGCAACCGCTAAATGTGTGGTCGGACGAAAGTAGTTAGTTATACTGTCTCAATTTTGGCGCCACCCTTGCGCAGCTGACGCGAGGACCATAAAAATCCCGCTGGTGAAAGAGCACAATTCCTTTGTGATGGGTATAAAATGGGCTTTGTGTTCGGAGAAGGCGTCATTATATGAAAAATGAAAAACGAATAGCACTTGTCATGCTCGGTGCAGTATTATTAGGGACACGGGCAATAGTCTTTGAGAATTTGTCAATACAAAGTTGAATTTTCTTTGAGAGTATTTTCTTTGTCATTTGCCGTAACTTTGATAAGAGGACTTTGACTTCAAAAAAGGAGGAGGTTCTCAATTTGACAAATTGTGTATTTAGGTATTTTACGGAAAAACTTTGCCCAATGGTATTCTTTTATTTAATTAATTCAGTAGGTTTTTCCTCGACTTGTAAAGGTAAACTTTTAAAAATCTATCTCATAAATTAACGGCGCATTGGAATCGGTAATACTTTAAATAAATATGCATTCTGGTTATTCTTAAGTGCTTTATTAAATAATAGTAGAGCTACGAGTTATTTTTATACAACCGTTAATGGTCTATAACTGGTTCTGATAAAGAGCGACAGTCAATAAGGATGACGGTATAACTACATATTGCAAAGCGACCGCTTTATTAACACTGCGTTAAAGTTTTTTAACATCTGAATCCTCGTCCGTTTGGTTGTAATAATCTCCCGTTGATGTTATTTCTTTGGTGGTTTGTTTGTATATCATATGAACTTATAGGCATTTGAAACGCCATTAGTTCTGCGTAATATATATTAATAGGGAAGGGAATTCATTGCACCTATTTTTAAGCAAATTTGGGAATAAGAAGTTTAGAACAGGTGCTTAAAGATTGAAAATAGAAGAATAAAAAATAACGTTACTTAAAGAATATATGTGAAAAAATATATGAGTAGGTATGTTAATGGCTAGAAAGAGTTTAACAGGTCATTATACATTTATACAGTTGACCTGTTATACTAGGATACGGAGGGTATCCTAGTATAACAGGTCAACTGACTCAATGAATATTGACTCAACTTAAACTTGAAAACTACCCATAAATAACCAAATAGTTAAAATTTATTTTTAATATGTGTTTTATAATAGGTATACTGAAGATATGCTTATTTAAACGGCCCGGCTCCTGATATCTCTCGATGCATACAAACAATCGAAATATAAGGAGATACTCTGACATGTACTTGCTAGTGATGTGCCGGATCGTTAACAAAGTATATCCGCGGATACGGATCCGAATACGCATATTTGGTGTCAAGATCCGCGGATACGGATACGGATCTTAAGTTTCTTACTCAATCGAAGCCCGTGACCTTGATAGTTGTCGCCACTTGACGCTTTGCCGTTGATATTTAAATATTTCATTATTTTAATAAGCTAATACAAAGATGTTTGATTGATATCATTATAAAGATAGCTCTTTCAGTACCTACGACCTGCCTAGTTGATTTAGTATAGTACGATAAATGATTGCAATACAAATGTGCCAAATATTTGTTTTAAGAAATAAAAAGTAATCTGAACAGAATTCAATAGTTTTTCATAGCTACCTAATAACCATTATTCTGGGTTATTTTAAATTTACTGAAAGCCTCTGAAGTGCATATTAGTAACATTATAAACAACAACTTTTCTTCTGCACTAACACCGAAAACGAAAGAAAATAAATTGTTTCTCCATACAAACTAACAACATTTGATTGGTCATTTGAATGGAAGACCAATTTTTTTTCATTTTGACGTTGGACAGAAAAAAAGTTGCTGTTCATAGTGTTACAAACACATACCTAAGAGTTCTACAGTGAATACAAAATCACCTATATAGAATTTCATCTATGTAATATGTATTGTAAGATCCGCCAAAAAAGTCATGGATACGGTTACGGATCTCTCTTCTGCCTTGGATATCCGCGGATACGGATACGGATATCCGGCACATCACTAGTACTTGCTAAGACTAGTATTCGTGCTTAGCTGTAGTTTCTGTGCCCTACAGTACATAGGGTACAGAAACTACATACTACTATATGTCTAGGGCTTACCTACCTATAAGGATATTTTTATTTTATTTTTATTTTTTATGTTAGAGGGGGCAGACGAGCAGACGGGTTACCTGATAGAAAGTGAATATCGCCGACCATGAACGTCTGCAACTCAGGAGTCACAAACGCGTTGCCGGCCTTTTAGGAAGGAGTACGAGTACTCTTTTCTTAAAGGTTTGAAGGTCGTATCGGTCCGGGAATACCGCAGATGATAACCCGTTCCACAGATTGGTTGTGCGGGGCAAAAATTGTAGGTATAGGTGATTGTAGTAAGTTTTGTAGGATAGTGTGAACTATAAAAATGCAAGATCTATTTGTCAGCGTTACATGGATTCACCGTGCGGGTGCCGGGTCATATGGGGCAACACATGCGACTTCGACAGCGCATGGGACTTGCGACCTAGGT